TTCAAAATATTAAGCTTGTTTTTCAAATTTATCACTCTGGATTTCTGTTTCTGTGTCATAAGTCATGTCAGATTTGTGTCTTATCAATATGACTGAATCTTTGAAATTAAAATGTCCTTGTATCTTATAATTGTCATTAAAAGACAGAGCTGGAACTTTGTGTTTAATAAAGGTCGTTTTAATATAAATGACTCTGAAAGTAAAAAAAAAATGTATTTGCATCTATTAACAAACTTATGACATAATTGTCATTATAAAAACCAAAATTGACTCTGAGACTCATGACAGCAAAAGTGTAAATTATGAGTTCTTTATTAAAATGATCATGTAGTCAGTAGTATTTTTTTTTCAAAGAATAAAATTATATGTCACGAAACTTTTAATCTCATAATTAATTAATCTGAAGATAAAAATAATAAAAACACTTTTTCATAACTGAGGCATTGGAAGAAAAATCTATGACTTTATATTATAATTCTGGCATTAAGATATGACTCTAGGACTCAACCCAGAACAACTGGAAGCAACATTTAGTTTCATACTTGCTAATAGAATCAAAGATGTAGAACCAACATCTACTTTTATCAAAACAAGAATTCAGAGATTTCCATACTAGTTTATATGGACTACTTATTCTTATTAAACAATATGTAGTTATATACTTTTGCCTTTCTTTTGGTTTGTTGTTTTGATGTTTTATTTGCTCTGCCTTGTTGCTGAAAATCTGCAATATAAGTAAAATGACATTACCCTACCTTACAAAACATCAAATAAGATCTTATTTGCATGTGTTTTTTTTTTTTTAAACTAACTTGCTTTGAGTTTACCTCTATCCTGAAATCTTTTTAAGGTCCAAAGGTTTCTGGTGGAACCACCATTCCCAACAACTACTGTAATAAATGCCATGGTGCAAACAGGAAAACGGGTAAATCTGGGTCTCCCTGCACAGCCTGCCAATGCACAAGTGAGTGAAGTTGCTCCTATGCACACAGTAATCGCCTACATCAACTTCAAAATGCTCTGAATGGTTTATGTAGGTAACTTTCTCATGGCCTAAGTTGCCCCTCTCTGTTCTCCATCCCAGCTGGTGGTGGGGAGGAGAAGGAAGATTGCACATTCGCAGCGGCTGAGGAGCTGTTTGGCACCACCTCAGAGAGCGACACCTCCACCTTTCACGGTTTTGAAGACGACGACCTTGAAGAACCGGCCGCAAATAGCAACGGGATATCCAGCCGCCACAGATAGACTTGTTAGATTTCAAATGACACTTTTTTGTCAAATATAAATATGGATTACCCTCCGGCAAAAATCAGCTGCTGCTTTGTCAAATTTTTGTTCTTGGTTTTGTTTTCAGAAAGCACAAAGTGAGAGTTTCCGGACAGAAATGCAAGTGGTATTTTATCTACTGAACATTGTTGGATAATTTATGGAGACATTTTTTATATATATTAATATAGGGTATAAACGGACCTTTAATGCAACAAACTATCAATGTTTCCTAAAAAAAAAACTGTAAGACAGAAGATGCTCTTAGTGTGCTTTTTAAAAATTTTCTTCCCTTCCCAACATTGGTAAAGAAGCCAAAAGCTATGAACAAATGCAAACACTGGAGAAATTGGAGACGGTAAAATTTTAAAGTGATGAGTTTGGTTGGTCCATTTTCAAAGAGGATGATACTTGCAATCGAAGAATCTTCTGGGACTTTGAAGGCATCTTCTTCTACGCTCACTCTGGGTTGAATGTGTGAAAGTGAAGGAACTAAGGAAAATTACAAGCCACTGGAAATATTGGAATATGAAAGTCTTTTTTTTTCTATTTTGATGAAAAGAGCATAAAAAAAATAAAGGTAAGCCAGGTAGTTATTGAATAATTAAACATATTAATAAGTTGACTTTCCTGCATGATTACTGACCTTTAACCTTGTTTACCTGCAAGGCCTTCAAAATTATTTATGCTTCCTGACTGTTTCTGAGTTTTGTGTTTAAACCACAACTTTCCATGTATTATATTGGATTTTTTTTTTGTGCAAAATACATGCACATAGTGATGTAGAAGAGTAATTATGATGAAACATATTTTTCATATTGCATAATTTTCACAAATAATCTGAAAATTGTTGTGTTTTCATAGTTCTCGTCTTTTGAGTAAGATACCCTTAATTAAAGTGCAGGTCCTTCAGGTGTCACCAAACATCAAATAGTCACCTTGACAATACTTTCATAAGCTTCCTGGCTACTTCCTAACTACTTTTTGTTAGTCTGTCAAATAAGTTAAAGTTTGTGGTTTTAACATGACAAAATGTGAATGCAGTCCATTTTGCAATGCACTTTGTTCCCTGTTCTTTTCTAACTGTGATTGTCTATCACGCAGGAGCAGTGAGCACATTGCCATGTTGCCCAGGGATCAGGGGATGACCAGTGAAGAAGAGGATTTAACTCTCAGAAACTATTGAGCCTCCTCATCTGTCCTGATCTGGGCTCAGAACGCGCGACTGAAGCTGCCTTCCATGAGCAGCGTGGCTTAATTCAAGCAACTGCTCCCCTGATATTATGTATGGAACCCCTTTGAAACATTTGAAATGTGAGCATCCGGCCTCATTTTCTCCTATCTGCACAGTGCTAGGAGCTCCTGTCTGAACTATGGGAACACTAAAGGCCAGGCCTTTGCATGGGTTGTACCTATTCGACCCAAGGGGGCGACCCGGCTGACCCTCCTGCTCTGTGATCGCGTGTCTGTCCTGATACAAAAAGATGCCATCATCCTGAACACTGTGCTCGCCTGCCGCTCTGCATTGAAAGCCAGCTTTGATAGCCATGACTCCTCCAACCTGATCTGACCAGAGACCCCCAACCTGACCCCTTTGCTGACCTGCAGCCATAGAGCCGGTGCTCAAATTCACCTCTATTACATGCAGACCTCTGAACTTTGTAATTCTCTTACTTTGACAGTTTTTCTTTTCTTGATTTAGTCTGTTTCTCAAGTTGATCTTTAACAAATCACAGCTATCCTTCTCACTGTTTTGCATGCTTTCTCTGCTCTACTAAGTTTTTCTTCATTTCTGCCTGTCTGTACTGATACCTCTGTCTGTACAGGTGCACAAAACTCACAGCTACTCAGGCATCTTTTTGTTTCCTGGTGATTGTTCAGCTTCTTAGCTCAGATCAGTGATTGTATGCGGCTGACTAGGAGAGACGGCAACACCCAAACTTCGATTTTTCTTTTTTTCCCTCATTTTTAATCAACACCTGCAAAGGATTCTGGGAGGCAGCAGTCAGATGCCACACATGCAATAACAAGCTTTACTTGTTTGCTGATTTTCTTTGAACTTCTATGTGTTTCATATGTAAAGCGTAAATAGAAAAACTTCTTTTTGGCTGAAAATGTTCGCACCCTAAATGAGAGGGGAAACTACATGCAAAGTTTGTGAGGGCCTGATTTCTTTCTGACATTTAAAAGGTGCTTCCTGTACTGTATCAAGAAGCTGTTAGGTCCAAAGGTTGCACATACCGTTGCAGAGGTGTGTGTGATAATTCAGCATCGCTGCTCCATTATTCCTGTACGTCTGTTAGGACTTGTTTGTGCATTCAAATCATCTCTCCTTGCTTCCCTCAGGGACCCCCCCCTTTATTCACCCAACTATTTTTTTTTTACCTTTTAATCTGCTGGACAAAAAAATGCTTCTGAAACGTGTCCGTTATCTTGTCTTCCCGTATAACAGTTATGTAATGTTTCTGTTTGATCATGGGGTCATTGTGTCTTATCTTCCAAAGTCACACCACTAAGTGAAAGATGTGCGTCCTAACCTGCTAAATGTTGCAAATACTAACAGGTAAAGTGCTCGCCTCTCTAAACAAGAAGCTAAAAAATATGAATATCTGCTTAAAATAAAGCGTCACCTTTTTATTAAAGAGCCGGTATACCTCGTCACAGACACAGCAATAGGCCCTGGAGCTCCTTGAGAAGCCTGCCGAGGGAGGGAGGCTGAGAGGAGGAGGTTCTGGGTGCAAACGGAGCCATGAAGAGATGAAATGGACATGATCGGGTGTTGCTTTTGTTCCTGTTGGGGGTTTTTTCTGCTGTAAATAAAAGTGAAAAAGGAGAGAATGAAGAAGTGTTTGTTTGGTAAACTATTTTTATTGTTCTGAAAAAATAAATACAAAATAAGGAACAAGTGCAAGCGAGTGACTTTTTTTAGTTTTTTTTTTTTAAGGATACATTAGCTTTATTGTTAGACCTGGCAATAAAGTGTTGAATGTATTAAAATATATCCATCTTTTATTGCAGTAGTATACTTAAAATGATAAAATAATACAACCTTAATTTGAGTTAGTTCATTTATGGCAAGAAAGAAAATCCATAGCAAGTAATTGTTTTTAATACATTCATAAAACAATTTGATGACAACTCTTACAGTTGTTATAAAACAAATATGTAAATTAAGCATTTTATATAGTCTATATATATATATATAGCTGTTAGTTTTTCAACTGTTACTTGTAATCCATGTCTTCCTGTTTCTCTGTTGTGTAAATATTACATCACACAGATTTATTTCTCTTGGCAACTTTTCAAGAACGTAGATTCAAGTTAATGTATGTTGTGTGGTGTGTTGATTTCTATAAACTAGAAAATGGCTACAAGAAAAAGGGTAATTAGCTGACCCATCAGAGAAAAACAAAACAAAAAAATTATGTGATGAAATGATGGTTCATCATATAAATCACGTCTCCCCATTTGGCAGAACAAATCCCTGGATTCAGCCAGAGCTGTAGAACCAGTGACTTTTTGTCTTTTTATCTTCAAAAGGATCTTTGAACCATAGACTTCATGGCATCATAAACCCTGATATCAGGATATTTAGAATAAATTTCACAGTGTGGCATTCAAACACACTGCAGAAATATTGATTTTTGTTCTTGTATTATTTTATATTTTTTGTGTAAATGACAGATTCTTCCAGCTTATTTTTCTTCCATGAGTCAGAACAGCAAACAGCAGCAGAGGTTTTCAGGTCCAGAGATTTTATTTGGTACCCATGAACAGATAACAAGTGCTTCGAGTGTTTTAGAGTGCCAGTAGTTGTCTTGCTGATCGAGAAACTAAAAGCACAAAAATGCCCTGAATATGTAACATGCATAGTAATGTGCTCGCATCATACTAAAGTGTGCTTTCCAATAATGAAATGTAACCAGTTTAAATTTACAATGCACTTGGCACGCAGTGTCACCATGTTTGTGCTGAGGATAACATTTGGTACATAGACTCGACTCAAGCATCTCTCTACCTTACATTTAGGAGGTTACTGGGTTAGGTTAATAGGAATAATTAGCGTCATGACTTGTACAGTGCATTGCAATGACTACTAAAAAATAACCGATGAGACTTAGTCAACGGCGCCTTCTAGTTTTTCACTGTTGCAGTCAGTGGCCTCTGGGGGGAGCTGTGTCCCAGCACTTCTTGTGTGTAGAAGAAGGCAGCAGCCACAATGGAGCAAAGGGGCCTCAATTCCTCTTCAGTCCATTTCAGATTTCAGATGTCCATTCATTAGTGAGTCCTGCTCCGGCTCAGTCCCCTGCACTTCATCGTGCTCCAACATGCACCATTTTCCACATGACAAACACTCAACAGTTATCAGACAGAGAGAAATAAAAATGGGCAGTTGTTTCAGAGAATAATAAATATATCCGTGCAAAGAAACAGAAGATGTCCCTCACAGGGCAGCAAGTCATCAAGGAATATAATTAGAATATAATCAGAATAGATTCATTACACACAGATCTTTGTTTCTGTTAAGATTACGAGTTATCATAAAACCAAGTTCAAAAAGTTCAAAAGAGGATTTAAAAAAAAAGACTGAAATGTTATTTTATTGCCCACTCAGTCATAGAGAAGAATGCTGACATGATTATTATCCATTAGGCAGTTATTGATAGCGTGCACAATGAGGAAAGTGTGGAGTTAAATACCATTGATAGAAAGTTAAGTGGAAGGAAAATATTTGATTGAGAACAGTGATAACTGGAACAATGAAGCAATGCCGATTCAAGGATTTGGAGAAGATTCTTAAGACGAAGTTTGTGTTTTGAGAGCCATCACACACAGATGAACCCAGGACATAAGCCGCAACTTTCAAGCCAGTTGTCAACCACAGGCAATTTCAGAAGTGTCTTATCTGAGCTAAGGATGAAAATCTGGGCTCAGGAAGCCAAAGTCCTCCTTCATGGTTAAAGTAAATTTAGAGTGAAGTCACACAATCCAAGTTGAAAAGTTCACAATAGTGAAGTTTCCACAGCCAGTGAGGACTTGGGGAGCTATGTCATGTCCTGTTGTTCGCCCACTTCAATAAGTGAATGTGTCCGCAAGGACATTTTTAATGTTTCCATTTTCTGACTAGTTTTAAGGAGATGTTGTTTTATATCTCAGCCAACAGGACTAACTTAAATTTAATACAGAATCGTCTTCTCTATTATCAAGATGAAGATGAGAGACACTACAGCCAACAATACAGACAAGATAAAGGCTGCTATCAAAACAAGCTGAGGTACCTAACTCCAGCGGCTGATTACTTCCATGCTTGCTTCATTGATTGAGTAATTTATGCTAAAGTACCCCAGACTAAGTAATGGAAGCAGATACTGTGTTATAAGAACCATTTTCAAAAATTTGTTCTAAAAATACTGTTCAAATATTTAATTTGAGAGAAAGTGAAATTTGGGATTTCACTGGCGATCGAGAATAACCAATCAAATTAATAAAAATAAATACTTAAAATGAATATCTGTGTGTAATGAATCTACAAACAAGTTTCCAGCCAGTCTGTCACTCGGTACCACACATGTAACATAAGATATCACACCATTGGCTGACTTTTGCTGCGAGTGCTTTAGCTTGATGCTAATTTCTGAAACAGGAAGCTCACAGGAAGAGCACAGGACAACTTGCAGTCAGTGCTCTATGGGCAAGAGGCAGCCTCGACTAACACTGATGAGACAAACAGGCTTACAAAGAGCACCGGCTACAGTTAGCCTGTTTCAGAAATGTTCAAACTAGAGAATCACTGTGACAGTGGTGGTATTATGGTTCTTTGGTCACATGTTATTTGCCTAAAAGCATGATTAGGACATGCAAGGGCTATGATGTCCCATGCTTCATGTATTCTGCCTCATTCTCCAGTTAGGTTGGACTGAATTACTTAGATATATTTAATTTTTCATTATGTTCAAACTTATTTAAATGCACCTGTATCAGCTTTTAACATGATGTATTCACAGCACAGTGGAGTCCTCTGGTTTATACACCACTAGATGGAAGCTCCCATGGCACTGAAAACTTTTCTAAAACACTGACCCTCGCAGCATGGCATACAAACCGAGTCAACACTAATAGCTCAAATCACAATGTTTCACTTAACTGTACTAGTGAATCACGCTTTTAGGCCTCTAAGGTATTCAAACAGACTTTTGGAGATGGTTAAGTTTACGAGCAGTCAACCAAACCCACCTTATAGGCACAGGTCTCATTACAAAGCGGTGCTGCTAAAACGTGACTCAACAAGGACATCGGGATTAAACATGCATCAGTGCCTTTTGGTTGCTACATTAAGCCCTTATGTCAGATTTTGGAATGTAATGAAGATTGAAGAATCTGCTTTATATATGAAGGGGGATCTGTACTCTTATTAATCACCAGACTTTTCTTACTTACTTCAATAAAGACATTATGATAGATGTTTTGCAGATATCAAAAGAAGCTGAGTGGACTTTTCTTTAATGTTTCAGATTTGTTTGTTTTTATTGCTGACTGCCTTGTGAGAACAGATGCACACCTCCTTTTAACACTTATGACCTCAAAGTGTTGTGGAAAACACAAATAAAAGAATATGAAAACAATAAAATTAATAAGCCAAGTCAAGCCAGACAACCGTTTGCCCTCCAGATGACAAAGAAAGAGCAGTATTAGTTTGAATGTGCTTATTCTTTTACACCGCATGCCGTGTGATTCGTTAGCTGAGGATCGTCTTGTAGGCATCGTCTCTTCCGCAGGGGTTCTGTTTGGGTGGTTCGGCCCAGTAGACCCAGCACTGCAGCAGCAGAACAGCAGCAGACCTCGAAGCAGTGTCCGAGAGCCTCCGCAGCAGCCCTGTGCACCCCGGCTCCGCTGTTTGCTCCCCTGCCCTGGCCCCTGTGTGGCTGCCGGCCCACCTGCAGGGTCTGGTCGTGGCTCTCCAGGACAGGCGGTGTCAGGATGACTGCATAAGGCCTGTCAGACGCTTTCCCGTCAAAGACTTCCCCTGCAAAGTTAAATAGAAAAGTAATAATAAGAAAGAGATCATTAGGAGTCTGATATGCTGATAGGAGAAGTAATCTACAAACTACTAAGCTGCTAATCTCTTAAAATATTTCCCACCTCAAATTTTCTATTGTGTTCTTCTGTTTCCAGATGACAATTAATCTATGTTCGTCAAGGATAAAACAATATTATATTTTAAGTTACAGTCACCTATCAGATAGAGGGCAGGATGATATAATTTGAATATAAATTTGTAGACAAATTTAGGTGCTTAAAAGGTACTTTTGAGGTATAGTTTTAAATTGAATGAGTGGGTATCAATGTTTGAAGTTAAATACCTGCTGCTTGTTACAAATGGGTATTACAGCATCTGCCAGGTTTTGTGTTTAAAACAAAACTGTTTAACTTATCCATCAATGTCATATACAAATGTCCACAATTTATAAAAAAAACAATAACCTTTTGCTAACAATGTTTCTACTTTCTGCTTACAGTAAAAAGTTTTTTATGTTTGTAAATGTAAAGCAGAAAAAAATGTTTAAAATGTATTGAATGCTTGTTACATCATGCTTACTGCATATAGCTTAGATGTAAATAAATAAATAAATTAGCAAATCATTAAAAAATATATATATTTTGTGTATAGTTTAGTTGACTGACCTTATTTTAAAGATATATATATTTATTTTACAACCGCAGTTTTTCTTAAATAAAACAAAAATAATTAAAACTGCTACATTATCAACACTTATTATTTTAAAAGACAGAAAATTCATTAAATTTTGTTAACATATGTAAAAAAAAAAACTACCTGGACTTAAATTATTGTTTAAAGTATTTTAAAATATAGCAAAACTCATGAAAACACATTTACCAAAAGAAATGATACAATCAAAAATTTAAGGAGGAAACTTCTGATTGATCTAATATGGGAGTACCCAGAGATTTACTTTGGTGCAATCACTCACGTCACTGTAATAATCTCTCATTCACACAAACACATGCTCACACACGTTTAGAAAGCCACAACAGAGTGTAATATGGTTGTAATTGCAAAAGCCACTGATAGTGAGCCAGCCAGTGTGGTTTCTGTGATATGAACAGCCGCAGCTCCAAATGACTTACCACGCTGCGGGTGAACTTCTCCAAGGAGGTGCGACGACCTTGTTCAGTGTCTGCTGGCTGCTGTTTTGGGAGGGGGGAAGCAGGGTGAGTGTTTGGGTCAGGTATGGGTGTTGACGGGAGGAAGGTTGGCAGTGGTGTCAATAGTGCAGGGAATAAATTAAAAAAAGAGGAGGCCAGGCATTGCAGAAAGCGAGGGCCCAGTGCAGGCAGAGCAGATGGGGTTATATTTGGGGAAAGGGGTGTAGGATCAGTGAAAGGCCAGCAGAGGGAGCAGTATCCAAATGAGAGAGGGCAGAAAGGCTGGCATGAACAGAGGAAGCTGTGATCTGATGAAAAGCTCCATATTACACAAATAAACTGCTAAAAAGGTTTTCTTTTAAGATCTTAAGCTCTACAGGAATCACAGATTACAGCAATAAACACATCAAAACAAGTTGTTTTTTTCGACATCAATCAATACATCGCTCTATAAAAGATGTCTTGTTTGAGTTTGTCAGTGATTCTCTGCTCTTACATTTTTGCAGTCTTTAATCACACTACAGTCTCACCAATGTAAAAACTGAATTAATTTTCTGGTAAAGCATCACTGCCCAAGACAAATAAGCAGAAAGAGTCTCATAAGCACAGCTTTATTTACAATATTTGCAACTATTAACATGGTTTACCTTTATTCCTGAAATAAATGTTGTTTATATGCATGTTTATATAGGGTGTTTTTTCCTTATTTTATGGTGTCAAAAACCTAAAAACAGTTTAGGTCGCACAAATAAAACATTGCAGGGTCTTTCCGTTGTTTATCAAGTTGATAAGTCATTTTTAAATACACTTTTCTGACATGACAAGTCTTCCTGAGACAGCAACCTTGATGACCACATAAGGAGTGATGGCAAGTATTGTTATGATGATAAAACCAAACAAATTTAATCAATAAATCAATCAATCAAATTTTATTTGTATAGCACATTTCAGCTACAAGGCATTTCAAAGTGCTTTACATCATAAACACAAAACACAAAGGCATGCAACATAGAATAAAATACCAAGGTTTTTTTTTTGTTTGTTTTGTTTTTTTTTTCGACATCAATCAATACATCGCTCTATAAAATTTAAAGGGCTGAGGACATTTATTACTTTCTTCTTGGGTTGACAGTGATTCGTTATGCCTTGATCTGTGAATTGGTTTTGTCATGTTTATTCACTTTAGTCGTGGAAATGTTAAGGAGTGAAAATAATGAAATAGAAGTTATTGTTTTTTTAATAAAAAAACTGAACCTCCTACATATAAACTTGACTATCTGTGAAATAGCTTATAATATGGTTACAAGCTGTTTTGTACTTTGGATCATTAATGAAATTTGATTTGCAGCTCTGGTTTCTAAAAGGAAATATTAAGATACCAATCAATGAACTGCATCATAAAGGGAAAAAAAGTTTCTTACTACAATTAATACAAATCTTGTTCTTGGAAGTGTATTAGAACAAAGTTTTGCATGTGCAACACATCAATATCCCACAAAATGTAGCTCTTCCTTTGCAGAAAGGGGGAGGTACATTTATATATACCAGAATTAAAAGTGCAGATACTACAAGTATTATTCTATTTATCACTGATACATGATTATTCTCCTTTACTAATTAAAATACATACTTTTTGCATTCTTGACTTTTTTTATTTCATTTTTAAACTTGTGTGAAACATGTCATTTCATCTAAGACAAACACAAGTCAAATTTGTAATTTGAACTTGCACTAATTTCAGGATTTAAATACAGAGGTAAGAATTTGAACAAATACTAAGCAGCTAAATAATAGTTTTGCCACCAAAATATTTCAGAATTCTCATAAGAGATAAAATCCTTTAGTCTCAAAGCAAAACTTAAAGGATAAAACCCGACACTTTCTTTTTCAAGCCTAGCATTATTATTAAATTATAAACAAAGAATTAAACTAGTTTGAGAAATGCAGGCGGAATGTGCAGCAGAGGTCAGAGTCAGGGCTACAGAAAAACTCACCTTTTTTCTGGCTGACAGGAGATCTTGGTAGATGTTGGATCGCAAAAAGCGTGCATAGCTGTCACTTTTCATGAGCTTGAATATGTGCTCCTGCAGCAGGAAAAGAATAAGATGAATTGGTGTAGCATAAAACCAGCCAGAAAAATACTGATGTATAATTAGGGAGACATTGATGCAGACAGTATGCTCAGACCATTCAAACTTTTTTTTACATTTTGTCACAATGAAAAGGCAAACTTGAATAAATTCATCTTAAGGATTTGCCAACAGAAAGCAGTGCATGATGTGAGGTGGGAACAAAGTGGTCAAGAAGAAAAAATATATATATTTCAAAATATATTTGCATTAAGTCTGAAAAGTAAGGAATGCATTTGTATTCTGTGTTTCTGCTTTGACTAGATAAAAAGTGTGTTCACCACTTTTTCAGTTTTACCACAGATTATTTTCCAACTTACCAACTTCTTTGGATGTATAGGGACAATGGGGTCAAGGGAATGCACTTATTTTCTTCTTGAGGTAAACTGCTAATATCCATTTGAAGTCATTTCACAGGACATTTTTCTCTCCAGCTCATAAACTGAACTGAATCGAAATCTTTTTTTTTTGTACTGGGGGCTTTCAAAAAGAGTAAGTTGCTCCAGATTTTATTTAGAATTAATATATGCTACATACAATGTCATCCCATCCCATTGCCCTTTACTACAACAGTTATTCACTGCTTACAGTTGATCAACTGCGTGAAATCCCAATAAAATATATTGCAGTTTCAGATTGTAATGTGAGAAACAGGAATGCACTTTTGTGAGGTTTTGTTTATTGATCCAGTTGGTGTGTGTGTGTGAATGAGAGCTGCTGCCAACAATAGAGCAGAACTGAGTGATGTGCTGCCAGTCAGAGACGCTGCACATGACACATCACCAGTGCATTTTAAGACCACTGTAATCCACTGTGAGCTGAGTGAAGGACCTATTCATGGTATTACTCGCCTCATTAGGCCCTGCCACAAACACACTCCGTCATTTTTTTCTCTTTCCACTTACTCAGTATTTTCCCTCCCCACTTAGTTACTTCTACAGTGAAAGGCTTTTTTTCACTCTCTGGTGTTTGTTTGTGTGTGTGTGTGTACGTTCATGAAAATATGAAGTCACATGGGTCCATGAAGAGGGCCACACAATCAACCTGAGCGTCTTCATAGCTGTATCGCCCGGGGTCTTTGAGGTTCTGGCTGGTCCGCTCGTAGCTGTGAGAGTCCAGGTTGATGGAGCTTGGCGCTCCCTCGGCCAAAAACTCCTGCCAGATCTCTTGGGCCCTGGTGGAAACCTCCTGGAGTGGCCGTCGCTTCAGATCTTGCACCGCTAACCAGAACCTACCACAGCATTTAATAAGATTTTGATGTGAATTGAATATTTTAAAGCTTTTCTGAAGAATCTTTGTGAGGAGAAGTCTCACCGAAGGTTCTCTGAGCTGAACTCTGACTCCAGGAACTTCAGGAACTGGTCCCGTCCCACTGGATCCTTCAGCGCCTCCTCCAGGGAGAAGCCCCACTTCTTTACCCGTTGCTGACTGGGCTCACGGCTGCTCAATGGAAAACAAATTCAAATAAAAATCTGAGACTGGGATGTCAGTAGACATTTTGGGAGTGCTGGAATTAACACAAATCAGCAGTTCCCTCACTTCAAATAACCCCAGTTATCCTGGATTAATGGCCAAAGTTCATCAATCCTCTGGTTCTCAGCAACAAGCCTCACCTTGCCTCCATGTCCCAGAAGGTGGCGTCGTCACTAATCCATGGATTCGAGGGCTCCACGCCTGATACAAAGGGGTCATATTCCATGAACTGCTCTGTGTAGGTCATCAGGCTGTCGGCCACTTTGGAGACCTTCATACAGTGTCTGTCAAGCTGGATGTTCAAAAAGGTTATCTGAGGGCAGAAGGAGAGATTAAAAAAAGGGGCTTAATAAGGTAACGGCTCATCAGTCTATGTCTCTGATTCTCTTCATGATGGATGAGGAGGCAGATTGGCAGTTCCTCCAATTCTGTTAGGTATAATGTCACAGTTACCTCCTTCTGGACATCCTCTTTGGTGGGCTTCCTGCTCGGCTGGGAACTGATGTGGATTGGACTTGGTTGGCTCTGGCCATCATCTGGTACTCCATAGACCGACTGCATTGAAAAAGGGAGGAAAAAATGACAGACAGATATGGTTTTGTATTATAACCACTGGTATGTGGATGTATTAGTTAATATTAGTGTCAACTTTATGTTGTTGATTTTTCTTTGCTTTTCCCCCCCATGTTTCTGAACCGAATATCTTTCTGATTTCAAAGTATAATTTTTTTCTAACTGCTTGAAATTGAATCAGAATTCACAACTATCCTGTTTTAAGCCAGTTTTGATAAGGAAGGATTAAAAGTATTGTGATGATCACTTCATTACTTCTGAATTAAATGGCGTTTTCAGTCTTTCCTTTTTTTTCTCCAAATATCACTCATTGTGACTTCAATTTTTCTTTCATCAGACTATAGAGCATGAATTAAGCCCTTCATCTATGAGTGTATATGAAAACTGTAGTCTGATGTCACATGTGCTGAATCGGCTTCTTCCTCACTGCATGGCCTTTCAGTCCATGTTGATCCAGGATTTTTTTCACCATAGATAAAGACAGTCTTTTACCATCTTCACTGACTTTTTCATGATATCACTCAAGGAAGGAATGTTTGAGAATTTGCCTTGAAGTACTTCCACATCTGTGTTTCAACATTACCTCAAGTGCTATTATTTAGATGCTAACAAAGACAGGGTATCGTCATCCATGCTTTCCCAAGAAAGTTTGAAAAAGGTATAAAACTTCTCCAATTAATTTTAAAATTGTAAATAATTAAGACATCACTATGTAAGCTAAACATGATCTGTTATTTCAGCATTTACTTTAGAGAAAATGATGCTATATTAAATCTGGGACAGTGAAGCTGGACGTCCACTCCTATGTTGTCTCAGTCTGTCACCTTTTTCACCCTGTGTGGGTTCTTCTCTCTTCGACACTTGCGGATGTCCATCTCCGTGGTATTGACGCAGCCTGGCTGTGGGAGACAGCAGGAAACATGACGGTTCGGGTCACTGTTCCATGAGCTTGTGTTTTTTACAAAGACACTGGTGACACATCTGATTTTGATCTCTCTTCTTTTCATTTTTGACATACTCTCTACTTTGCTTCCTTTGTGTGCTCAGCATCTCTGACATTTGTGTTGTTTTTCTTTCTCTATAACTCACCACCGGTCGATGAACATCCCAGAACGCCCTCTCCTGGCTGTCAAGGATCTTCCTCTCTGCCTTGTCCTTCTTTCTGTCGATCCTGCATGCAGGTGAGACAGCCCACACATAGAACATATAGGACTGAAACATGAGGTCAAACTGCATAAATTCAGGCAGTCTTGACTAACAAAAAGATCCAGCCTTTTGGTCTTGGTCTATCTGCTGGTGTCACCTCTGGCGAGTCCTAACCCGTCCATTACTGATATTTACTGATTGGCCTCTGCTTCATATTGTCCCCCCGCGATACATGGCTTCTTATATTAACTTCACGTCTGTCAAACAGGAGCCAATGATTGATGTTGTGCATTTTTTCAATATGTTTTCACTGACAGCAGAGGATGAAGTGTCCTAACAATCTGTCAGGGATAATTTTGCGTTTACACTTGCCAGCCACCAGAGAGCAGCCTCACAAAACAATCCAGAGCATGTGATTGTTTGAATCCAGGAGGAATTGCTGTTATTTTTTGGAGAATAACACAAAGTGATGTGTTGAAACGAAGCATGATTGACGTATGCACTCACTTGACTTGAGCCTCAGCTTGCATGAAGATGAATTCCCACTTTCTGGCGAAAGCCCTCTGCAGCCGAGCGAGGTTCTCCTGCAAGATGTAATTTGAATAATGCGTTTGGGGAGAATTAAAGATTTTTTTTTTTTACTGTAAAACCTTGTGCAGTGTTTTGCAGAAGTATTAATACCCCTTAAACCTTTCTACCTTTTATCACATTACAACTACAAACATTAATGTATTGTATTAAGATTTGGTGTGATTGAGCACTTTAAAGTCATGCATACATTTTCAATCAGCAGCTGTTAGTCAATTTTTGTTGTGGGTCTAAAACCAATGCAAGAACTTTGAAGAGTAAAATTATTCTTCATTCTTTACAAAATTGCTGGAGTTCAGTCAGGTTGGTTGATAATCATATAAATTCTGTCTGACCGTTTAGCATATAAATATGCTTTGATCCACACCACAACATAAACCCTCTGCTCCAACCTTAAGTGCGCTGCAGCCTTTAATGAGTTTTCTTCGAGGAGTGCCATGCATTTATCTCCTTTCATCAACACTGGCCAGTTTCTCCACCCTTACGAAAGAAAACCATCCACATAGTATGAGACTGCAAAAACCAGTGACATTATGTGGTGTGTTCTTAGTGATGTTTAGGTTTTATCTTCCTCACACAAACAAAAAGCTCAGATTTGTTTTTATATGACCAGAGCACTGTCCACTGTTCTGCTGTGTTGGGGGAAACTGCAAGCAGAACTTCTTTAGCTTTCTTTCAACATTAGCCTTCTTCTGCAGCCTTCACAGGACAATTGCATTGACAATGACATTAAAATACAAACAGGTGGATTTTAACAATTAAGAGACTAATGAAGGAAATGGATTGGTTCATTTAGGGGTATCAAAGTAAAGGTGAGAGAACACAATCCCCCATTATATGTTTGCAAAACTTATTGAAAACAATTCTGATTCCGCTTTACAAATATGCATCACTTGGTGTTTATATTTCAAACATGATCATTAGAAAATGCATTAAAGCTTGTCGTAACAAGAAAACAAAAGGTTCAGGGGGTATTGATATTTGTTCAGCTCTTCTACACATGCAAGCAGATTTTGTTTCTTAGATGTGTTTTTTTTGACAAGTTTCATTGTTGTGCGGTGACGTCCAGAAGCAGAAGTTATTCAGCTTCTGGACGTCACCACTAGAAGCTTGAATGTAAATTCAGATTCACTTTACATTCCGTAAAAACGCAAAGGAAATGTATTCCTGATGCTTTTTTTTGTTAATGCTCAAAAAAGCATCTGTCCAGGCTAAAGTAAGTGACCTCATTACAAAAAGGAAAACTCCAACCAGCAGGCATGTTAACAGTGAGAGCAATGATGCCTGGAGGCATAAAGTGACCTGAATAGAACAGGAAGGAAGTGTACTGGACAATAGTTGCAGAGTCATTTGGAATATTAAAGTGCAGTACGTAGCTTCTCTATGTACAGCAAGAGATCAGCACTACGGTAACGTGCCTCCTGGGGTTGCATATTGATCTGCTGATGCCAAATAATCCTGCAGGTATTTTGGGTGTACGTTCCTCACCAGGAAATTACTGCCATCAAATGGATCTCTTGGAGTGCAACCATTCATAATGGCTTGATGGCATTTCCAAACCCCAGAAGACATGAGTAAAGATTTATCCTGTTTGCAATCAGCTTGCTGGTGCTTTTTAAGCTAAAATAACATTTTACTTACTGCTTCGTAGTCTGCAAGCTCGAGTCTGGCTTTATTCTGCATGGTGCGTTTGCACAGGTAAATGGCTGGGGAGGGAGAGAAGGAATAATCACATTTTTAAAAGGTCAAATGATTTTAAAAGAAAGGTCAGCTGTTTCAAATCTGTTTTTCTGAACCATTATCTCAGATGTTTATAGCAACACCAGTGCTTATCTAATTTAAGCTGGAAGGCTATTAATTGTCTTATAAAATAAAATAAAAACAAGAGGGCTGTCCAGTGAGACAGAGATTTGGTCAAAACAGTCAATGCATCTTGATTTGTTAGGCTAATCCTATCCCATTGGGTTCTCTCTGGTGGATGTTCCTCAGGGCCAGATACATTACAGGGAAGAGCCCCATGGATCAATACTTAGTGAGTGTCAACAGCAGCTCTACAGTGTGAGCTGTGTTTAAGCTCTGGAGAAAGAAACAGCTGAAGGCATCAGGGAAATCTTAGCAGGAGGTGGAAATCGACAGCTTTTACTCACCATAGTCTGTGTTCTCGGGTTCCCAGCAGTTTGAAGGCCAGAAGTATGGAGACTGAGAACAGACAGAATTTAATTTAAAAAATGACTCGTTTTCTATTTTACAAGCTAAATAAAGTCTTTCTGTCCATTCCTTTCACCACTTTCAGAACAGTTCTGGTCAGAGGTGTGAAGACACTCATTGATGAATGACATTCAGACTAATTTAGACTTTTAATGATACATTTGAAATGCCACTTTACCAAAATGCAATCTCCAGGAGTATTTTAGGTATTTTGGGTGCACAAGTTTGAATTTTGATTCTGCAGTGATTCTTGGTGACCTGGATTTATGCTTTGATTGTGCGGTTTTGTTATGGTTGGCTTACCATTTTCAAAAACTTTTTAGATGCATGTACTCTTGTTTTTCATTTTTTCATATTTTTAGATTTTAGATAAACTTTTCACAGTTCAGTATTTACGCATTCACATATTTACAGTAACTACAAAATGCCTAAGGAAAATTGGCCTAGTAGCAGTTTTTGGTCTAAAATATTGGGGAAAAAATGTCGACATGTCCAGTCAGGATTATGCCAGTATTTCATTGATGTCCACAATAAGGTGGTGGTTTCTCTGAAACATAAAAAATAGATATTCACTCAAATATTGTTGTTTGTATGAATATATGAGTCTGTATGTATCTGTGTGCATTTCAGAAGAAAATATATACTTAAAAAAATGTCCACACATATATTGTTTTGTTCAAATGTATTGTAAAAGGTAAAAAAAAAATTAATAATAATAATAAGAGTTATGCACATCTCTTGTATGTAAATGTATGAGCATAAATGTACATTCCCTCACCTTTATTTGGATCAAAATGTAAACATGAATTTGTTCAAACACAATCTTCGAAATACTTTTAACCACTGCAGATAACTATGAAGCAATGGTGACTGTTTTCTCTCTATTCTGGCTGAAATTACAGATTCAGAATTCCTTCCTGAGTGCATTCATAATTGATGACTTCAATTTGTCATGCATTCTTAATAGTAGGACAGAATTAGAACCACATATTTCATTTGCACTATTTGTCATGACGGTAATTAGCATGAGGAGAATGGCTGATGCTGATAAATGCACCTGTGTGAGCATAATAACCTTCTCTCATTCAGAACTGTCGGCTCAGAATAAAACAGGCCAGTCTGTAACACAATGCACAAAAGTGTGACAAACATTGGAGGACAGCTTCCATTAAATCTGGGTGCTCTACCAGTTTAGTATCTATTTTAAGGCTGTCACAGACTCTTGCAGTGCTGCTATGCAGATTTTCTAGCATGTTACAGTGGATTCTGGTTAGTGGGCCCGTTGCATCATCATCAGAGGGAATATTTTTAGCCCCAGCTGAATGAGCAAGATATAATAATGCCTTTTAATTTTGGACAATATGAGCAAAGATAAATGCTCCTCTTCCTTTCTTGGGACTTTCCAGTCAAGGATTATACAGAGTTTGATGGAGCAAATAAAAAACACCTTTGTGACCAGCTCCACTGCAGGCCGACATGCTCTGTCCTGCTGCCTCCTCTTGCTCTGATGCACCATGCAGCAGGGGTGCACTGTATAGTATCGACCTTGGTGGAATGAGTAATAGGCTTAAGAAGGATTGCTCTCATTAGCATCACGCAGTAAACACATCCCCTCTGCTAAACAACTATCATCTTATTATTCTATACTCAAAGGCCTTGCAAAGCCCCAGGACTGCCCCGCGGCGGACTCCACTGTACCTGAAAGCGGTAGTGGGTTCCGTCATCCTTTAAGGTCAGGACGTGGTCAGAGATGGGAAAGATGTAGCCATGGGCTGCTATTAGACTACCGAGGTGGATGGCTTCAGCTAGAGACGAGAGAGTGGGAAAGCACATGAAATTCTCTTCCATCTCTCTGTGTTTTTATTACTCAATATCTGTCAACAGGCCTACCTGGATCCTCAATGGAGAGGTTTTTCATCAGCCACTGAATAATGTCTGCCCCTGTTTTCCAGAGAACAGGAACGGTCAGAAAGAGTGTCACAATTACAAACACACAACAGTTCAGACAAAAGCTGCCTCTCTTCAAAGCTGTCAAAGTTGGGTAGGTGTCTAAATATAGCGCATTGTTGGCAGGTTTGCACTGCATTCGCTGCTCCTGGACAGCAAAACATTCAGCCCCCCTGTTGGTGCTTAGTAGAAGCTGCTGGAAAGCCCTGGAGGAAACCATGTGAAGGACTGACTCAGACGCAGCCTCACAGAGAGACGGAGCAACCTCCACGTCCTATTCTTGTGACTCACTATTACACAGAAGCACAAACATAAAGGAATACAGCACCTACACAAATAGGCACATAGACAGAGGGGAGAAGGCGCTTTACCGAATTGGTGGCAACAACGGGATGAAACAGCCCGGCAAAGACATGATCTGCCTGCTTCTATAGTAGTAGCGTGGAAAATGAGCACAGAAGGTCATACATGTATAATTTATTGTGACTCATGTTTTGCATAGTTAAAGAATGCAAGGATGGAAAACACACAATACTAAGAACAAAGTTACAAATGCATCAGTAGAAATAAGCCCTTACTAAGGAAGAAGCAGCTCATAAGGTGCAACATTTCCAAATGTTAAAGCTTGATTCACACACACATACAGTATATGCTCATTTATGGTTTTCACACAAATACGAACCTGATACCACACTCGGGATCTTTGAGAGGAAGCTTTTAACGGTCCGGATGGCAACTCCTCCTGCTTTCTCATCTTGTATTCGTGTAACAATGTCTTCCATCTGTGGAGCAGAAAGACAGAGGTCGGTCATCTCATTGCATTTTATACACCGTTGGTCAAAAGGTTTTCAACTCAACAACTTACTCCGGTTTTTAAATTAAAAGCCAAGCAGTTCAAGTTCAAGGAAATGGCTTAAAATGGTACAAAAATAATCAGCCAGGTGTTGAAATAAGGAAACAAAAACTGAAAAATGACATATGTTTCATAATGTAAAAAAGGTACTTATAAAAATATTTTAGCAACTTGAAGCTAAGGCTGAAATTGCAATGAATGTCTGGCACAATTTTTTGTTCAACCTGACTTTGCTGGAAATCACATATTGTGAAGTATGGTGTATGTTCTTGCTGCATCTGCAGTGATGGCACTATACCAATTTGTTGTGGCGAGAGCTGAGCTAAACTGAGAAGCTCTTGATTTATCAGTCAACCTACATTCCTACCCTTGTCTACAACCAAAAGAAATAGATTTTGGATACAAGCAGCTGAAATGAGTTTGGACAGATGGACGCTTGCTTTGAGAGTTTTAAGCTGAAGCAAGAAATGTAAAATGCCATGCAACGTTCTGCAGCTGACACGTCATATCCAATTACACACTTGTAACGAGGCTTAAAGTTTAACAGTTTAATTTAAACATTTCTCTTTCTGACAATAACATGAAGTGGCACCCATAGGCTCTTCCTGTCTGTAAAGCTCAAAACCTCAAAAACTTGGGTCAATGGTTCAGTGAAACTTAATCCAGGTGTTTGTGTGGCTGTGGCCACATATTTATAGTGATTTATTTAGCCACAACGAGGGGTTAGAAGTTTTCCACAGCCGAAAAAGCTGTCAATGTTAATCCCAGAGGCAAAGATAAACATCACACCTCTGACCAAGCCAGAGCCTCAAACACATCACACATTAGCCGACTAAAATTAGGCGCATCCCTACACAGCTCTCCATGCAGCCAGCACACAGTACAGATCTCACAGCAAGCAAGCAAACATTCAGTCTTTCAAGGACAATCATGAGGCATCCTTATAAGGATTCATAATTTATTGTTATTACATTTAAACATGTTTAAATGTCAAATCTTAAATGATTTATGAGGTGGGTAAGATGGTCTGGTAGAGTCTAACAAGAACCAATTAAAAATCCCATAAATATTTACACGTAGGTGGGTAACTACAGTCAGCTGACTGTGGTAGTTTCCATTAAGGTAGTTGGAATGGCAAATAAATGCTTTATGCCTCGCTCAATGTCTGTTCAGCGAGTGAGTGCTGTCAGATACAGACATACACACACGGTTGCTGCAGTTTGCGAGAGTCAGTTAACAAGCAACACTTGGGATAAATGCTACGAAAATTTTAAGACAGCCATTCACAGATTTCTTTTTATGTTCCTTAATATCACACCACAAGGTGGACGGCAAGTCACAAAGTCTGGCTCGCAGCATCCCGCTGAGCTCTACTCTTACTGCCATTTCTGTGCACTTCTCGCCTCTTGCACCACAGTTCATTCATCATTTAAGAAAGCATATCTGTAAGTGAATGCTTTTTACTTACACAGGGAGACTGGCTTGAAAATATAAAGTTAAGAGGCTTCCAGGAGAAGACCTATAAAAGTGTAGTATTCCCTGTGTTTGCCTCGTCAGCCCATCTAAATGCCACCTCCAATTTTGCCTGCATGGATACCTCGAGATACGTTTTGTCTTAATAAAATTTGGTAGAGACATTTATGACCAGGAGAAAATGAAATAAGTACCGTGAGTACTTCTCAATGTGGTCTAATTTGCCTGCCAAGATCAATTTAACACACAATTTAGTCATTTTATCCAATAAGTTAATTAACGGTTGCTATTTAGCAATATTTTGCAAAACTTTTGACCATTATTATAGTCCAATGACACCCCAAAAATTAACTTCGATATATTATTTAATACATTATTTTACCCAACACTCTTATAAGGTTTTATATATATATATATATAAATGTTTTCATTTGTTTTATGCACGATCAAGACTATATAAAAACCATGCACATCGTTTTTATCACAGATGCATGTGCAAATTTGTCACAGCATTTAGCAATTTCAATAGCATATATGAGTGAGGTTTTTTTTTCCATCAGAAAGTATGTATTTAAATCAACATTTGAGTTTGGCTCTTATTTTATCATTCGATCAATTGCTCCATCAGACATATGCTTTGTTACACAAAATGAAGCATTGTTGCAGGTCAGTCTTTTCTTTGAAGATCAAATGCAAAACAATCTAATGAAAAGTAAAGAAATTAGCTTTGAAATTTGAAATAGCTTTGATCCACCTCTGAAGAACAAGTCAAACCCTGCTTTTAACCAGAATAACTAAAAAGCGAAGAACTTCTTGTTCTCATGTAAAAACAAAGACCAAAGTATTGCTGAACTGCTTATCTTCCTATAGAGTGACAACAGAGCAGAAGCACAGCTATAGAACATGTAGTCCACTTAATGGTATCACAGCTTTGTGTCAAGTGTTTCTGAATGCTGATCAGTGCGGCTTGCATAATAAAAGCACTTCAGTCTGTGCTCTGTTTCACTTATCAGAAAAACAGAGTTTACCTAAACCCTATGTATGTACATTTGCAGCAGACGTAAATTTATATCCTTTCGGGCTTTAAAGGAGACCTATAAATTTTCAGAAAACATAACCATAACTAAGCTACATATGTATTCATCTTTATAAGTTAGGGAAGTAGTTCTTTCAATGGACAGTGAAGGCACTGCTAAAAAAAGTGCAACCTACCAAAGAAGCTGCTGGTAATTTTTCTACACTGCTATTATTTAGTCTATTCTGTGTTAGTCCACAACTGTGTGGTTTGGCTCATCCAAAAAACAGGACATAGGGTCAGAGAACAATGATCAATTATGTCTGCAGAGCAAATCATCAAGACTGACCTTCACTCCATACAGGACTTGTACAGGACAAGGGTCAGGGAAAGGGCAGCTAACTCTGCAGACCCAACACATCCAATCCACTATCTGTTTAGACTTCTACCTTCAGGTCGATGACGCAGAATGCTTTTCACAAAAAACAGCTGCCACAGAGATAGTTTTTTTCCTTGGAATTTGGATGATCATACAAAACATGTGATCCCCTTATGACAGAAATCTGATCTCTTAAATCTAAGCCTTATGCAAAACATATGTGGTATAAACCCAGAACTATTTGGAGAGATTATGCAGAGGCAGCAAGGAACAAGGTTCCTTCTGTGTCTGTGTGCGTGTATAGGTGCGTGTGTGCGCGTGTGTGTGTGTATGTGCTCCAAACTTTTTCTGCTGGCAGAACAAGGTTTTGCAAAATATTAATACCAATGAATGTGTTAAAGAAATAATGTGGGATGTTTTTTTTCTCCTTCTGAATAAATGCACTCAATTTAATGTTCTCAATTTAAATGTTCTCATTGCCTGATTATCATACGGCAACAAAAGATGACTTGTGAAGAGGGCTGTAAAGAAAGCAGTTCAAGAATGTTTGGGCCATGCAGTCTAATTTGATTCTCAAAAATTATCACCAGCTCTGTTGCATGTTTCTATGTTTAGAATTAAATTAATTGGAGAAATAACCTAAAAATGACATACAATCTCTGTTAGAATCAACCTTAAACGGGGCACAGCAGGTACAGAAATAGCAATCAAGTAAATGTGACATGCTCAACTCTTGTGGGCAAGATATGAATGTAAAAGCACCTACTAAATTTAAAACACTGTACTAGTTTCTCCCAAAAAATGAAATGGAGTTGTTAAAAAATGAGACCGAAGATAGATCCATTAGTAATAGTGCCATCAATGATTCAGGAGACTCAGGCTGGATGTCACTGCTGATTTTTGGAGCTATAGAGAAAATGGAAAATGTCCAGGTAATAATTGAAACAAAGGAAGATATCCATCCTGGAGATGAGTATGCCTTGTCAGGGAGCGCCTGATGAAAATGAAGAACTCAGTATAGTTTACCTCAAATCAGCTCTTTTATGTTTCATAGCCAAAAGTCATAAAATTGTTCATATATTTAGAGCATGAGTATTGAAACAGATGAGAATCTGTGGCCAAGTTAGAAGCTGTAATTGAAGCAAAAAGTAGTTTCATAAAGTATTTATTTGAGGACACACAGCTAAAGAGGACGTGTGCATAACTTCTTTCTCAGGTTCTTGTCTGAGGTCACAACCACACCTGTCTCAACAGCAACATGCCAGCTTAAGTTTTTATGCAGGTTTATGCAAAAGCATAAAATACACTTAGCTGTTTTCCAAAATCAATATCTGTGTTTTTGCAAGAATGCAGAAGCAACGAGGCTCACTGAAAGGAGCCTCCATCTGCTCCAGCTGCTCCGAGGTCTTCTGCCGACGGTGAGATTGGCTCGGCGGCGCCTCAAATCCCTGATTGTGTTTCAATGTTTATGGCTTATAATTCTAGCGAAACTGCTGTTCAGTAACTGCATTGCTGCCAGTTGCCTCACGGTGTTCCAGTTGTTCTTGTTTTGCATTTTGCAACTTGCTCTGTGAGTTAGTTCAACATAAAGTGTTTTAATTGGATTGCAGTTTAGGCTCTTTATATGGTTTGGTTTAAAGTAGTTTGTATCTTAAAGACATATCAGTTAAAACTTATTACAAGTTTTACATACAAGCTACTAATTATATTGTTTTTTTAGGATTAGGTGTAGTCTAACAACAGTTTTATACTTTCACAGATTATTCATTTTGTTGCAAAAAATCAGATTTTTTTTCCTACTAACAATGTGACGTTTCGCAAAGTAACTTGTCTAAAGTACACAGCCTGTCACATAATACTCGCCTCAATGCCACTATGACCTCTGCACCATGCTGACTGCATAATAAAGTGAGTTCCAGCTGGTATGTGAAGCCTTAGGGTACTGAGGTGAGAATAAAGCCTGCAGGAGAGAGAAGACACCCCTCTTATTTTTTTCATTTCTCCTTCGTACTACCGACACCAAACCACTCCGGAACCTGCCGAGTCATGACGAGGGAGCTGG